TGTGTGTGTGTGTGTGTGTGTGTGTGTGTGTGTGTTCCTGCAGGTGACTGTGTGAAGCAGACAGTTCAGGGTCATGGTGTTAAAGGACTTTACAGAGGACTCAGCTCACTGGTGTATGGCTCCATACCCAAATCTGCTGTCAGGTAGGTCCAAGAAATGAGAGGATATCCATCCATCCATCCATCCATCCATCCATCCATCCATCCATCCATCCATCCATCCATCCATCCATCTATCCATCCATCCATCCATCCATCCAAATACATTTCTACTAAAAGATAAAAAAAAAACACTTTATCCTAAAGGTACTTAAGAGAAATTGATTGAAGAACATTTTTTAAATGTTAAAGGCAAGATTAGTTCAGGCTTGATTCATGTAAGTTACTATGATTAGAAATGAGTGAATAATGTAAAAACACACAACACTGATGTTATAAATGAAGAATTTTTATGTTTCTCCCAAACCACCAACTGTTAGATGACATTAAGTCTCATATCTATCTATAATGTTTAACCTTTAAAATAAACAATAACAGAGCTGGCTACGCCTTTGTGATCTTCCACCTGGAACCATTACCTCTCACACTCCAGTTATTCTAGTCCATTACCCACAATGCAAGGCATAAATGCCACACTAGTCTTCGGTATAATTATGTTATTCTTTCACAGCACTGACATTTAATTTCCAGACAAGTGTGTACATTGCACATCTTTATCGTCACTGTTTTTGTTCCATATTTCATTCTGTCATCTCTTCCAATCTCACCTGTCTGTCTTTCTTTCACTCTCCTCTCTCTCTCTCTCTTGCTCTCTCATTGTGTGGCTGCGCTTGTGTGTGTTAGTAAGTGTGTGTTTGTTTTATGCTGGAGGATACAGACTGTCTGTAAGAATGGAGAGGCAGGCTCAGCCAGGCGAGGAGAAAAGATGCCACTCAAAATCAGGCAGGGTCTCAGTAGGGCTACACAGAGGGAGACTTGTTGGTACTCGGTTTGTGTGTGTGTGTGTGTGTGTGT